AGTCATTACTTTTATTATTTAATATTATATAAATAATTATATTTATTTGTTTATTTATCTATTATTATTTATTATTATTCTTACTTTTTAGAAATATTATAATGGAAAAGTATAAAACAAAGTAATGTAAATTTTTTATGAAAATATTATTAAACATAATTTTTGTCATAAAATTGGATCTTTTTTATGAAAAAAGTCCTTTTTCTGAAACACGGAGGTAATCAGAATTTATTTCCAATTATGAAAACCATTTTTGTCTTGAGAAAACGACGTTGATGTTTGCAATTTTTTTCTAACAATTTTTGAAGTAGATTATTAAATTTTCGTCTTTTTTCAATACATTGCAGCTTTTTTTTTTATTAAAAAAGGGCATTTTTTGACATTTATTTTTCTAAATAATTTCATATCATAATTTTTATTGATGAAAAATAGAAATACAGAAAAATTAAGATTAAATTTTGATCAGAAACTAAATAAGTAAACAAATAATTTTCCATATAGAAAAATTGAATAACAATGTTATTTTTAGAATTTTCAGTTTAAAAACAAAGATTTTTTTCAAAACAATACTTCTATAGGTAATTATGAAAATCATCGATTTCATTTGGAATTCTTTTCATGGATTTAAAAACATATTTTCTACCAAATTACGCGTGTGTTTCGAAATCCACCAATTTTTAAGAAAAATGATAATTGAAAAAGGGTCAAAATATTTTCTGTCCGCTTTTATTTTATGACCGTTGAATTCCTTATAAAAAATTACTTTAAAACTAATTTTGTGGAATATTTAAATTAGATTTTTCATATACTTAAAAATATCAATCAATAATAAAAATAACCATTAAAAATTTTTAAAATTATACATTTCATAATTTTTTATTATTTACTTTTTTTTTGTTTAGAAATTTTATTTGTTTAATAATTTTTTCATAAAAAATTTTCCTTTATTGTTTTAATACTTTTCCATAATAATATTTTAAAAAAGTAAGTAAAATAATAAATAATAATAGATTTAATAACAATAATAAATAAATAAACAAATAATAAATGTAATAGTAAACAATGAGAGTATAATTGACATTTAATATTTTTGTTCCTTACGTTCATTTCTACTGTACTACGCAAACGGTGCAACCTGATATAGTCGGCCATGGCTAACCTCCCATATTGAGCTGTCAGTTTGCTATGTTTTGGAAAACGCGGATTGATATTCACGCCCATAGAAACATCTAATCGTCATAAGAAAACTTGTTGAATATTCTCTATTAAATATTATTTTTCCCTAAATCGCCCTTTTTTTCATTTTCAATCTGGATTTTTTTTAATTAATTATCAAAGTCAAAAAATTTCACCAAGAGGGACGAAAAGAGGGGAAAAGAGTGGAAGTTGAGGAGAAATCGCTCGCTACGCCTATGCGTACTTTTAAATATTTCCCACCGTGCAGCGTCCTTAAATATGGAAACGAATTCATTGAGGTCGTTAAGCGATATGTTTATTTAGGGGTTACGTTCTCCGATTGTTGTTCTTTTCAGCTGGCCTCAGTGAAGTCGATTAGTGCAGCCAATTCAGCAGCGGGATCTATACTGAATAATATCCAATCAATTGGTATGAACTCCTGGCCAGCGTATATAAAATTATTTCAAAGTGTAGTTCTAGGTATTTTATTGTATTGCGCACAAATCTGGAGTCTAAATTATTTGGACGATTTGGAGGGAGTTCAACTAGGCTTTTTCAAGAGACTCCTTATGCTGCCTATATCTGTACCCTGAACCTGAACTATGCGGTGAGATTGGAAACGGGCTCTTTTCACGCCTCGTTCTATGTCCTAAAAGGCATCCTGTCTTGGATTAGCAAAATTGCATTAATGGAAACTTCAATGGTACCCAAGACGGTGCCTGGAGAATCTTGGACGATTGGCTGTGAGGAGGCCGAACGATAAAACAAATTGGTTTGTTAAAATACGTAACTTTTTTACAGCTTGTGGTTTGGGGTGTAGATGGACGGCTGAGTCCCCGCTGAGATTGGGCGAGGATATGAAGGACAGTTTAAATAATTATGCGAAATATCTTTTATCGATTGACAGAGAACGTTTTTTACATCGAAAAGTTTATTAATATATCCCGGTCTCCGACTGCAGAATGGGCCTCAAAATTATTTGTTATTAAATTGTCATTTGTTTTTTAAGAGAGTGCTTGCCCAGGTGAGATTGCTAAACGCGCATGTATGTAGAATTATTGTAAGGGACCAGAAATATGCTTTTGATAAGGACCGAAAATGTAAATTATGTAAGTTGGAAACAGAAAATTTATATCATATCTTGACTGATTGTCCAGCGTGCGCACATTTGTGGGAACAATTGTTCCCTCAGATAAAGTGCTGTAACGATGTCTGGGACGTTTGGCTCTCTATTCTAACAAATATGAAACTATCCGAAATGTATAAATTTGTAAATTTGCTGTTGAAAATTTTGAAAGAAGGAATGTCAGGGTGTCTACAACACCTGGAAAACCTGGAAAACCGGGAAATGTCAGGGAAATTAAAAATGTCCTGGAAAACCTGGAAATGTCAGGGAATTTTTTTGAAAGTCAGGGAATTTTTTTATAGTTATAAAACCACATCATAATTGAATTGATAATGATTTTATCACTCGGTTATCTTTAATTATTATAAAACATGAAGAGTTATCGATATTTTCATGTTTTATAGTTATAAAAAATTTAATTTCTAATTTTAAGTAAAATGTTCTCTTATTTGACTCGGACTGCTTATATTTTTGTTCGTAAATGGTCCGTAATTTTTCATTTTTGGTCCGTAAAGTACGTATTTTTAAATACTGTGTCACTGGTTCGAGTCCTGATAATTTTTTTAAAAATGTTCATTTTATATTCATAATAATTTATAACGTTACTGACGTTCACATAATGATTAAGAAAAAAAAATAATTTTCTATTCAAACTTTTTTCTTAATAAAACTTTTAGAATGTTTCTTGAACAGAAAGTTAAGAAAGGAAAATTTTGTAAACGTAAAATATTGTTTTCTGAGTGAAAAACAGTTTTTCTCTTCGAATCGTTGATGACAAACGTTGTAAATACTTCTCCCACGTCATTTATAAGTGTTATCAAATAAAATTTAAGCAATGTTTTTTTTGTAACCCCTTATTATGTCGATTCTTAAAACCTGGAAAAAAAATTTTAGAAGGCCTGGAAAACCTGGAAATGTCAGGGAAATTTTTTTCAGATTAGTTGTAGACACCCTGAATGTATGCTGAGGAGTTCAACGTCTGATTGCTGGCGAAAACACCGCTTATATGTACTATAATGTATTAAGACAAGTGTATTAATAAATAAATAATAAATAAATAAATTTTAAAAATCCGATAGCAGATTCATAATCTGCGACCCCAAAAACCCCTGAGTAACAAAATTCAAGCGAATCGAGTAAATTTTTAAAAAATTTGTCGGACATATTGGATCCGCCATTTGGAATTTTGAAAATCTGATTATATATTCGTCATGAGCGACCTTAAAAACATATAAACACTAAGTTCTATTACATTTCATAGCCATGGTAAATATCGGTGCACCATAAAAAGAATTGAATAATTTTTTTCTCAAATCAGTGCCATTTTGAAGCCGCCATTTTGTTTTTTTATTTCCGCTATTGCATATTTTGAAAGTTTAATAAGTTTGTGCCAAATTGTGACACTTGTATTCATGTGAAAAAAAATGTTTTCAGTAAGAAATAATTATTTAAAAAAAAAATTTTTTATTTTTTTTGCAATTTGATGCACAAAATTCGCCATATTTAATTTTCTTTTCGATAAATTTAAAATCTGAGCCCGGAGTCTTGTAGAGCGACCCCGAAAAACATAAAGAAACACTTCAGTTACTTGCAATAAAATTTTTGAAAATAATTAAATTTCGCAGAAGAATTTTATTATTTATAAAGATAATTAAATTTTCGCCAAGAATTTTTTTAGATTTTTTAATATAATTAAACTTCTCCGAAGAATTGAATTTCTATAAAAATTTTATTATTTATGAAAAATAAATAAATGTTTGCATAGAATTTTTTCAACAATTTTTTCTAAATACTTAATTGAATTCTTTTGGAAAATTTTATTAAAATGTACAAATTTTATTATTATATTTTAATTAAATATAATTTTATATTTTAATACAATTTTTAATATATCTATAGCGATATATTAAAAATGATTGAATTGAGGAAAATATGAAAATAATTGAAATTTCCACAAGAATTTTATTAAAATTGTTGAAAATAATTGAATTTCGCAGAATTTTATTATTTATAAAGATAATTAAAATTTTGACGAGTATCTTTCAAAATTTTGAAACATAATTGAATTTCTGCGAAGAATTAATTACTTTTAAAAATAATTGAAATTCTACAACCATTTGTAACTTCTCAAAAATTCTCCAAATTATATCGTACATTTTACGGTTTTTTCGTACTTTTTCAAACAAATTACGGACTTTTTAAAAAAACTGACTTTTACGGACTTTAAACAAATTTATGGACCTAGTTTGATCCCTTTGCTTTCCACGCTTTTCACGCCTTTTCCGGACGCTGGACACCCTGTTATTCGTCTTTCAAAGTTACTCCTACATTTTTTAACAAAATTTTCAAGTCTTATTTTTCAAAATTTTAGATTTTTAAAAAGTTAATATCTCAGGCTAGCATGGACGAAAAATGTTCAACAAGGGGTCAAAAGGAGCGTCTGAAAAACTCTATTAAATAAAAAAAAAATATATAGGTGTCCTAACATTTTTTAAAAGTTATGGACAAAAAACGGTTTTTTCTGATTTTTATAATGAAAAAAATGTAGTTAATATTTCTTAACCTGGCTCAAAGTATTCTCATTTTATATCCGCGCGTGAGATCTAAAATTAAAAAAACATTTATCCCTAAAGCCCTTATAGTCTCGAGATTGAAAATGTTTGCTTAAAACAAAGCTTCCATGAGGAAGCAATAACAATTTTAAATTATAAAAATTTTATTTTCAACACATAAATATTTACAAAATATGAAGTAGTTATTTTCAAGCATTCAAGCACTGTTTGCACCTGATTTCTCAACTAATTCCAATAGTAACTGTAGACTTGTATCGAAAAGTTCGCATCTAATTGGCATTTCTAAGGAATAGAAAGGATTTTTTAATGCATAATCCGCATACAATTCGTATACTCTCTTTGTTAGTACTTCAACTCCAGTTTGTAAGGGTTCAGCTATAATTATAAACTTAACACCAGTCAAAGTTTGATAACAATATAATCGAAACGTATCTGCCTCTAGAACTTCAATTCCAGAACAACGTGGCTCTGGACTCAATTGACTGGCAATTGCAAACAGTGGATAGAACATTGATGCAAGAAAAATCTTTTCATTTGTTGTCATTTTAGCTCGACTAAACTTTAATGTTATTGGAAAGTTTTCCTGTTTATCCAGTAGCTCCATTATATTTCTTCCATCTGGAAGTTCACATCCTGTCACTGGTTCACCATTTGCAGCTGTCAATACATGTCCCACTGAAAGTCACACAAATTTCTCTACTTTCAAAATTGTTCAAATGGTAACGTTTCACATCAAATAATAAAACGCAAAGAATCTATCAAATCTAATAAAATTTAATATTAAACAAATTTTGGGATTAAAAATCTAAAATTTGAATGTGTCCCAATATTTTTAGGGTTCCGTACACCATAGGTGTACTGACGGAACCCTTATGAAATCACTCGTGTGTCCGTCCCAGCCACGCAAAATGGGCTGTCCCCCCCCCCCCCTTAACTTCTACAAATCTCAACCTGGTGAGTTGAAATTCGGTAGGGATCTTCAGTTTAAAGTGCAGATTATAGGAAAAATATAGCGAACTTGATTGACGGACATATTTGCGAACGAGGAGGGAAAGAAATTCAATTTTTTCGAAAAAATTGCAAAAAATGACCCTGTCCCCCCCCTTTAACTTTTACAAATCTTATCCTGTTGAGCTGAAATTTGGTAGGGATCTTCAGTTTTAAGTAAAGATTACAGGAAAAATATAGCGAACCTGATTGGCGGAGTTATTTGCGAAATGAAGGGCAAGAATTTGAATTTTTCGAAAAAATTACACTGTCCCTACTTTAACTTTTATAAATTTAAACCTGGTGAGTTAAGATTCAGCTTGTATATTCTTTTTCAAGTGCAAATTATAGAAAAAATAAAGAGAATGTGATTGGCGAAGATAAGTACTATAAAAGAAAAAATATAAAGATTTATTAATAAAATAAAATAATAAAAATATTTATTCGAAATTTAAAAAAATATATTACTATTTTTTTAATTATTTTTTTCAAATTTTGTAAGAATTTTTGAAATAATTTTTTTATAAACAATGAGTTTTATTTTGGTGTACGGAACCCTCGATCTTAATGCGAGTGAAACTCGCACTTGTCCGATTTTTTTTATTGTTTTTGTATAAGGTGTATATATATTAATATAAACAAAATGTTTAACTTACCATTAATTCCACCCCTTTGACCAAAAACAACAACAGTTTTTTTATTCTCATATGATAATTTTATATCAAGTGGATAATTAAATACTTTTTCATTTTCAACTTTTGGTACATTATGGTCATGATTAAAAATTAAACCTCCCGATTTTGAAACAATATAAACACCATATATGACCATCTTGATTATTAATATCAATTTAAAAAGTTCTCAAAATATAATTTTTATAATTAATTATTTTATAATTATTATTAAGAAGAGATATATTTTATTAATAATAAATTATTATGTCATGTTTTTTTGTTAACAAATTACTTTTGGTGTAGCTGTCAGAAACACCTTTTTAAATCATTATTATAACAATTCTGAGAAAGCAAAACAAAACTTTTATTTTATATCACTATAGTTCAACTGTTCAATATCAATAGGAGCGTTTTTCTTGGAATATTTTTTTAACACCGAGAAACCTCTGAAATATGACAGTAGGGTGCCAATCACACAAGCAATCACATCGCGTTAAGAGAGATGGAGATATATGTTCGCTATATTTGCACTCATTTCCTAGTTACAAAACGCGAGAAGCATGCATTTCCCCCAGGATGCACGGTTGCGCGCACGGCAGGGATGGGTAAATGTAACAAACTCGAGGTTTTCTACGTACACTGTAAAAAAATCTGGTGTAAATTTACTATGTCCGACGTTGGAAAGTTTGGTCACTATGTCCGACGTGGTATTTTTACACGCCGACTGTAATCTACATAACCTGCAAATATTTTTTGAAATAATATTTTCAGTCGTAACTTTTTGTATTTATGAAATATAGCCCAAAACTTTTTGTAATATTATTATTTACTTATGAATTAGCATATACTTTCTATAAATGTACATTATATACACTTTTTTAGAGTTATTTATAAAAACTTGAAAATTTTTCGAAAATCTTAAAGGAATAAGAAAATTACATTCGCCATGTAATTGTACAGATCGTGCGACGTAATATTACGTCAAAGTGTAGAAATACACGCAATGTAAAAATACCACGTCGGACATAGTGATCAAATTTTCCTACGTCGGACGTAGTAAATTTACACAAAACTATTAAATTACATAGTCGTATAATGTAAAATTATTAAAAATAGTAAAACTACTTTTGGAACGAAATAAATTTACTACGTACAACCTATAATTTTGATGTGTGAAATTACAAGTTTTGTGTTATTTTACACCAGATTTTTTTACAGTGTATGTTACATAAATGAGTAACATACGTAACAAATTGTCGCAAACGTAGCAAACATCAAAGGTGCGTCATAACCTCACTTTTGTAAAATAATTATAAAATTAATAATTTATAGTAACATGTATAAAGTATATAAATTTCCAGTAGAATGATTTTGGATTCAATAAATTAAGTTATAAAAATTTAATGTAATAGATATTTGATCCAGTAGGAAGTCTTATAAACGTATAAATTAAGTAACGGATTTTTTATATTTTTAGGAACAGGAAAACAATCTAAAATGGAATTATCAAAAGAAGACTTTAGTCTGGGAATGTTTTTTTTTTGATGCAACATTCCATTTACGGTTGTGGAGTCCTATTTTTAAAAAAAAATTATTAATATACTTTAAATCCAAACTACTTTCCTACTCTCCCGTTTTCTAATTTGGTAGGAGTAAAACTAAGTTGTTGAAAAAGGGTTTATTAAGAGGCCTTCCACCTCGTTTCATTTTTAAAACAATAATTTCCAGGACTTATGATTAATTAAAAGAATAATAATAAACAAGGTCAAGTGCCGGATTGGCGACAACCAGAAAAATTGAGGTTATGTTTACTTCTGACTGACGTCATAAAATGTAACATACGTAGGGTAGCAAACCAAACGAGTTACATACATGCGTAACATACGTAACAAACCCGGGTAACATACATGAAGTATGTTACGTACCCATCCCTGGCGCACGGAGTAATAATAAGGAGACTGCTCTCCAGCGTATCCCCTAGTCAAACTGGTGCCAGATTTCTGCCTTGGTTCACTGAGTAGTAATGACTTTTAAAAAATAACGCGCATGTGCAGTTTGCAACTATCTTCGTCACTCTTGAAAGAACGATGAGAGAGATCATTATTTTGACGTGCGAGTTGGAAAGTGTGGTTATGTTTTACTGTTGACAATATATATTATACTATTAAATAATATTAATAAATTGTAATATAGGAAATGTGTGAGTAGATATTAATTATATTAGCATTATAGCGATTATAGCATTATATTATATTGTATTCATTCACTTTATCATACAAAGAAAAGAATTACTCCGGTTCGACAAAAATAATCTTTTTATTAATATCTACTCACACCTATATTACAATTTATTAATATTATAATATATTGTACTTACTCTTCTCTTTGCAGTTTGTTAATTAATATTTTTTCTTATTTAAATGTTGATTTTCCCGTATAGTTGCTGTTGTCAACAATAAAACATAACCACACTTTCTAACTCGCACGTCAAAATAATGATCTCTCTCATCGTTCTTTCAAGAGTGACGAAGATAGTTGCAAACTGCGCATGCGCTTTATTTTTGAGAAGTCTTTACTACTCAGTGAACCAAGGCAGACATTTGGCACGGTATCTCACTGGTAGTACAGTCTCCTTATTATTACTCCGTGGTTGCGCGCAACTCGAAGTTTTTTACGTATATTACGTAAAAAATGTAATATATGTAAGAAACCTGTAATGAATGTAAAAAAAGATGTCGGACAATTGAAGAAGCGCTAAAGGCGAACGCAGAATAGAATCTTTAACCGGAACCGCAATCGTAAGCGTAACCGTAAGAATGAGTTAAAGAAGGATAGGTATATTGTTTATCCTTCTCTAACTCATTCTTACGCTTACGGTTAAGATTGCGGTTCCGGTTACAGATCTATTCTGCGTTGGCCTTAAAAGCATAATATTTGAAAACTACATGTGCGTCGTCAATGTCATGCAATAAATTCGTCAGATTATTAAATATAAATTATATACAATGAATCGAAAAATGCTTGTTGTGCAAGAAAATTATTTAAACCTCTGCTTATAATCGCCTTATTGCTCACAGGTATATGTAAAGTTTATATTTAAATAAATAATGTTTTGAAAATATGAATTATTATTTTATAATTCATTACTCTTTAAATGTTTAAAAGCGCATGATGAAGATGATTTTGACAGGTTTATGACGGGACAGTATATTGTATAGGTTATGTTGACGAATTCTATTTGTACCATTTGTACATAAATTTAGAAAATTTGGATAAATAAGTAATAAATAAATAACTCAATCATAATTTGTATATGTATTCAAAATACATTTATTTATATAACAACATAATTATAATCTTCATTCAAATTTGAATGTAGGTTCTTAACCTCTCTTCGGATGTATTAGAGGAGGTTTGTTTGCATCCTTGACAAAAAGCCACACTTTTCCCATTTTCCTTTTGTGATATAAATGGTAGTTCATTCCAAAAGTTTTGACGCGGCCTTGCACCTCTAAACATTTTTTAAATGCAATTTGTTGGGACACAGAATAAAGAAATAGTCAACGGCAATCATGTAAACAATTCAGCCATTTTGAAAAAGTAAATTACGTATAAAACTGAGCACGTAAATTACGGACGTAATATACTGTAAAAAACTATGTAATTTACGTCAGGTAAATTACGTGCGCAACCCTGATTTTCCCCTAAACGCCAAGTCTTCGAATGCTCAAAACATCGAATTGTCAGTTCGTCGAAAGCTCAAAACGTCGAATTGTCAATTCGTCGAATGCTCAAAACATCGAATCGTTAAAAATTCGAAAAATTTGTTTGATCTAAGTTGACATTGGGTGTTTTTGACGTCGTCGGTCGTACCGGTCAGTTGCCACATAAAGGTGCTCAAACTGTTTATTTGAGACTATTAGGCCGACTATTAGACTATTTAGTTTAACCTAAATAGTCTCAAATAAGCACCTTTTTGTGGCAACTGACCGGTACGACCGACGACGTCGAAAACACCCATTAACTTAAAACAAACAAATGTTAACTCAGGGTACGGTCACACAACTTTTGGAAAAGCCATTCTTGTCTTTCTCTCTCCTATGACATAGGCATAAGTTTGTCTCACTCTACATTTTCCGTTTTTGGAAAAAGTAAGAAAATGTAGAGTGAGACAAACTAATGCCTATGTCATAGGAAAGAGAAAGCCAAGAATGGTTTTTCCAAAAGTCGTGTGACCGTACCCTTAGGTCAAACAAATTTTTCGAATTTTTGTCAATTCGACGTTTTGAGACAATTCGATGTTTTAAGCATTCGACGAATTGACGATTCGATGTTTTTATAGCGACCGTTTTCGGCATGCTCAAGGATCATGATCCGGATCACTATTCGTATGCTGTGATTGGTTACTTAGTGATCCAGATCACTTTTCGTATGCTGTGATTGGTTACTGAGGGTGGAGTCCCATGACAGCGTTTTGCGTTGCGTCGTAATGGGACAGAAAAAGACGCAAATATACGTTTGCTGCATTCTCTCTCATTACAACGCAACGCAAAACGCTGTCATGGGACTGCGGCCTCAGTGGTCTCAGTAAAGGCCTACGCAGAATAGAATCTTTAACCGGAACCGCAATCGTAACCGTTAGCGTAAGAATGAGTTAGAGAAGGATAAACAATATACCTATCCTTCTTTAACTCATTCTTACGCTTACGGTTACGATTGCGGTTCCGGTTAAAGATTCTATTCTGCGTAGGCCTTAAATGAACTTTATCTATGTGTGAATGTTCCCTTACTATTGACTTCTATTGCAGAAGCACCCATATAGATATATATATATATATATATATATATATATATATATATATATATATACATTCCTCTGTTTGCCGTATGTATGTACAATTAATGTACATATGTATAGTTTACATCGTTTACATAGTTCTTGGTCATGACTTTTTGAGCGTCTAAATTGACGTTTGTTTGAGTTTAGCCATACAGTTTTGTCAGTTTACAAAGTGTCTTTTCTACTCTTTTCTTTGAAAGTATAGTTCGTAAATGTTTTAAGTATTTTAAGATTCATAAGTGAACTTGTGCTGGTGTAAATATTGAATTTATAAAATGTAACGATCAATTCAAGTGATGGAGGTTAGGAATATCAACGTAATTTCTGCCAATATTTAATTATTTCTATTATTATTAATAATTACCGGTTTATACTACATATCAATGTATAATTAGTAATAATATTACATGTGGTAAGGTAAGTGTATTAAAAGTTTTATTTTTTAATAATAAATCAATTTATATGTATAAACATACTTACATATTCGCGTATGTCATGTTAAATATCAGTATAGAAATGATTGCTAACAAACAGCAACTTTTTATTGATTAGAACAGTTCTTTCCATTATTTTATTTTGTGTAATTGTGCATTTGCTTTAAAGTGCCGAGTATATTTTTGTAATATAAGTCCAAGAATATTGATATTTGGTTTGTTGAGGCGAATTCAAAATATTTTCTTTTCAAAAGCCACGTGAGTGAAATTCTTGACTACATAAAATTCGAATGAAGTGGATTAAAAAACAAATTTTCTATTGCACATAATCGTGTTAAATAATTTTATTTAATTATCTCTAAGTGACTTAAATTTGAACTTAAAGTAATATGTACACTGTAAAAAGTGTCAGAGTTGAATAACATAGTAAATGTAATTTTACACTTTGGAGTATATGTCGCAAGGTGTAAATCGTGTAAATTTACACTGACAGAAAAGGTGACATAACCTTATCAATGTGATTTTAGATATAGTGTGATAGTGTAATTCGCGTCTATTTCGGGTAAAGTGTAAATTTACATTTCCGACGGTGGAAAAAATGACTACCCTTCGGTCGGTGTAAATTAGCATAGCCTCTAAATTTGCCACTAGTTTGTAATTTTTTCAATTAATTATACGATTTCTATTTCCTTGTTTCTCGAAAACTTTTGTCCCATATTAATTGTCGTTTAAGCCTTTACAATTAATCCATTGTAATAGTTTTAATATATATTTATCAAAAGGAAAGTATTATAATTTTCAATATTTCTTTGTTGAACCAAGCAACCGTTAAAGGCCTTCACAATATTTACTTATCTTAAATAATTTTAAATTTTATAAACATTATTTACTAGAAAGGTAGGTCTCTACAATTTGATGTTAATTTAAAATTCTTATAATTTTTTTCTAACTGAATTTTATTTTTATAGGTTTTCTAAGTATTATAAATATAAATTATAATAAATTTCACACTTTGAAATTAGACCATGTCTATACGGCCAGTCAACTGGCAGAATAAGGTGGTTTAATTATTTGCCCAGTGACTAGAAATAAGGGAAAAACTGGCAGAATAAGATGATTAAATAATTCTGCCAGTGCACTGGCAAAATAAGATGGTTTTACTATTTGGCCATTGTATTAATAAAGCGCCCATCAGGTATAAATATGTTGGATGTTTGTTTGTTTATTTAACATTTTAACCAATCTTGTACAAATTTTTAAAAAAATTCTAAAACGTAAATTGGTTCTTCTTTAAGTGTGACAGGAACTAAATTTATTAAGAAGTTTTTATTAAAATTTATATTATAATTAATATTATAAAAATATTAAATATATAGGGGAAAGAGCCCCAGATAGACATTTCGTTTAAAATTTTTGTGGAAAGTAGGAGCACCTTATGCTTCTTGTTATTTTTGTTGTTAGTATAGACGAAGTTCTTGATGCACATTTGAAGGAAAAAAAGCAATTTGTTTTTATTCTGCACACACTTCCTGAAATTTTTGTCTCAGTCACGAAGTTTTCTTATAATTTCTTCCTAAATCGGTAAAGTTATTTAAATTATAGCTTTTTAATAGGCCAAAAGATACTTAATACCTATATTGTCAGGGTGGTCACAAGTTTCAGATTATACGAAGTTGAAGTCCACAATGTTGATCAACGAAAAGAATTTATTTCATCTACTCGAATATTATTTTTAATTTAATATTTAATTGTATAACAATTATTATCAGAACATAAACATCAATCTAGTATTTATAAATATTTTTGTGTCAATATTGCTGCAATATATTTTATTAATTTACTAAGTAAACAATTTTTTTGTTGATAAACGTTGTGGACTTCAACGTGGTCAGATTATCAATTTCCCTGACAATTTACTGACATTAAAACTATATTCCCTGACAAAATTCTTTTTGCAGGAAAATATGAAAGTTTACAGAAAATGAGTAAAATTTATGAATGTTAATAATTTCTAAAAATAACAATTATAACCCTTCCTGAATTTAATTATTTTCTATAATTTGCTACCAAACTTCATCTCTACATCAATTAGTTAAATAGTTTTCCGAAAGTTCTATTAGAATTCAATTATTTAAATACAAAAAGTAAATTTTTTATAATAATTATAATTGTCCATGTTTTTTCTTAAGTTATTAAGGTAGGGTGTTGTGGGGTGATGTGAAACCTTTTTTTTTCGTTGGACGAAAAACATGTCAAATAATTAAATTTTGAAATATTTCAAAATTGAATGACTTAGAGGCATTATAATAGAAGATTTCTGCATTTTATACTAAAAGATGTGGTATTTTGTTGCAATATTTGGAAGAAAAGTCGCAATTTTTGAAAATAAATCGAAAAAAGTCTCAATTTTTTAAATTTTTCTGACAAAAAATTTTTTTTGTCTGATTTCCTTGATTTTACTGACAAAAATTTTGTTTTCCTGACATTTCCCTATTATAATAAATGAGTCATTCCATTATATTTCGACTAAAGTCGTTGCCGACTAATTTTAAAAAATTATAATATTTTGCAGGAATGATGTTAAAGATATTAGGATCACCGAACAAAAAGAATTTTTTAAATATTTTTTATATTTATTGTAAAATAAGCATCTAAAGTATATGAAGTCGTAAAAACTGTCACATTTTCATCTATTAGAAAATATTAAAGAAAACACATAATTTACTATAAAAATGTAAAAAAATTATAAGAATTTATTAAGAATGAATTGTTTTATTATTATAAATTGATAGAAACAATTATTAATAAGAAATATTAAATAAAAAAGGATTTTAAAGTTCACCTGCCAAATAACCTAATTTTGCAAATTTCATTCACTAAATGTGAGAAAGAGAAATCATTAAATTGAATAAAACCTTATGAAATATAAAGTACCTGTGATTAACTTTTAGTTTTTCTTAACACTTTCTTCCTTTTTTCTTCATAAATGTTAAAAAATAAGCAATTAAAACTGGCACTTTGCTTATTTTCACGATTTTAAAATGCAAATAACTTCTGCCCAGAAAAATGAAAAATTACGAAAATTGGGCAATAATTAATTCATTACTAGACACACTCACTGGAAAAAGATTTTCTTTGGTCCCGAAGCTATTTTCCGAATTAATTAACTTTAAACTTTTTACTATTTTTATCAGGTTAATACATGTGTTTTTTAAAGGACGAAGTTAGCTCTTCTTGTTTAATCGTTTTGAACCAACTTCAGTTTTAAAAAAATCACATGTATTAACCTGATAGAAATAGTGAAAAGTTTAAAATTAATTATTTCGGAAAATAGTTTCGGGACAAAAGAAAATCTTTTTCCAGTGAGTGTATCTAGTGATCAAATAATTATTGTCCAATTTTCGTAATTTTTCATTTTTCTGGGCAGAAGTTATTTACATTTTTAAATCGTGAAAATAAGCAAAGTGCCAGTTTTAATTGCTTAATTTTTAACATTTATGAAGAAAAAAGGAAGAAAGTGATAAGAAAAACTAAAAGTTAATCACAAGTACTTTATATTTCATAAGGTTTTATTCAATTTAATGATTTGGCAGGTGAACTTTAAAATCCTTTTTTATTTAATATTTCTTATTAATAATTGTTTCTATCAATTTATAATAATAAAACAATTCATTCTTAATAAATTCTTATAATTTTTTTACATTTTTATAGTAAATTATGTGTTTTCTTTAATATTTTCTAATAGATGAAAATGTGACAGTTTTTACGACTTCATATACTTTAGATGCTTATTTTACAATAAATATAAAAAATATTTAAAAAATTCTTTTTGTTCGGTGATCCTAATATCTTTAACATCATTCCTGCAAAATATTATAATTTTTTAAAATTAGTCGGCAACGACTTTAGTCGAAATATAATGGAATGACTCAAATATAACTGCGATAATAATAAAAAATTAATATTATTTATTAATAATACTTTTTCACCTTTTGAAGCCTTTTTGTCAATTTGTCTCTACTTCATATACATATTTAGTTGTTTTTTGAAACCTTTTTTTAATTTATCTAAACGTTAGCTTGCCCGTATATTGAAGTATTAAAAACTATTTATTTTGACTGGCCAAATCGAGTCTCTTTTTTATTTGGCCAGATTTAGATATTAATTGTATATTTTCTTTAGATATTTAAACCACCTTATTTTGACAGTTTTAACTGGCCGAATAGCCACTCCGTTGAAATTATGTGAAATATAAATTTTCTAAAGTAGAGTAATTATTGTTCATGTATGGAATCTAATTTATAAATTAGCATAATTTTTAACTTGCGAAAATTGAAATAAAGCAATTGTTAAATAAAAATATATTTATTTCTTATAATTTTTCTGAAATCCAATTACCTATTATTTGAAATAATTATTGTTTTATAATTATAATTATATTTTTAAATAACATACTACAGGTCTCGGATATTATGACTTTTTCGATTATTTTCAAACAATGCGTCTTTTATCGACTTATATTAAAACATTGTGACTTTTTCGACTTTTTTCACAAATTTTGCGATAAAATACCACATTTTTAGTAAAACTGTAACTTACTTCGATTTTTATTAATTAGTATGTAAAGTATAATAGACAAAACTTTGAAAAGTTATTATTGAATAATTTTTTAATTAAATTTTCGAAATATACAATTAAAAAGCTTTTGATTAATTGAAATTTTGTAAAATTTAATTGGAAATAATTGATTTTTTTTCAAGTATTTTATTATAAATTTTAAAAATCAACTTTTGAAGAATTTTAATTTGCAAAATTTTGAAACTAATTTAATTCTCAAAAATTTTAATGAAAAATCTTCAAGTGAGCCTCCGGAAAGTATAACCACACATAAAATTCTGACCGCCATGCTAATTCAATGGGCGTCAGAATTTTATGTGTGGTTATACTTTCCGGAGGCTCAAGTGTAAATTTCATAAAAATGAGAATTAGTTTCTAAAAATTATATCAAAATATTTTTGAAAAAAGTAATTCTCAGAATTTTTTTTATCATGATTTTTAATATTCAATTATTTTCAATATTTTCGATTACATATTCCCGAAAATTCAAATACATACAAAAAAATAACATTAAAATTTTTTTGAATTATTAATTCGTTTTTTTAAATTATACAAAACTTTTTTTATAAATTCAATTAATTTCGAAAAATTACATTACAATATTTATAAAAAACTAATTCTTAGAATTGTTTTATCATAATTTTTTAATATTCAATTAGCTTCGATCAAAGTAAATTAAAATTTTTTTAAATTTACTTTTTTAGATTTATTAGGTAAAATTTTTGAAAAGTCATTTTTATACAGTAGAGACTCCATTATCCGGACCCCTATTATCCGGATATTCGATTATCCGGACAAATTTAAAATTACAAATTTTTTTTTTAATATAAAGTTTACAAGGTCTCAAGCCGTTAATTAACTTCTATTTTAAATTTATTTACACGAAATGTTGCGTTTTAAAGTGTTTTAATTATTTTAAGAAAATGTTTATGTAAATATTTTGAAATATTTCTAACTAAATATTTATTAATGTTGACTTTAAAAGTTTTAGTTTATTTCAGTCTTATTTTAATACATATGCAAATAAATACATAAAATTATGAATAAAAAATTTGTTTAATTCGTACTTTACTCGATTATCCGGATTTTTGATTATCCGGACAAGTGCCTGCATCCATTAGTCCGGATAATGGAGTCTCTACTGTAATTAAAATTCTTCAAAAATTTAATTTTTTAAATATTTTTTAAAAACTCAATTATTTTAAAAAAAATTTAACAAATTTAAATTATTTTCAAAAATTTTAACAAATTTCCATTATTTTTCAAAAATTTTATCAAATTTCAATTATTTTTCAAAGATTTTATCAAATTTAAATTTTTTGGAATTTTTTTAATTGTATATATTTGTAAAAATTATTTTAAAATATTTAAAAAAATGAATATTAATATTAAAATTTTTGAAAATATTCTACCTTAAAAATTGATTTTTGTATTTAAATAATTGAATTCTCGAAGAACTTTCTGAAAATTATTAAAAATTAATATTGATAGTTGATTGAGAGATAGAGTTTAGTTAAAAATTGTAGAAAATAATGAAAGTTTGAAAGGGTTATAGTTGTAATTTTTAGATAAATTATT